TTACACATTATCTCACCTCTAATATTGTCCAACCTAAAACATACATGCCCTATATAATATAATAGATAAAAGATGGGAGTTGTACCTTATCAGTGAATATGTAAGTCTCACTGATTCATGACCACGTGCTTTTGATAAAGTCGACATCCTACAATGGACCCTACGTTCAGCAGAGATTTCTTATCAGTATGGAAATAAACTTAAACAGAGTCACAATGTAACACTATTTCTGTTACTGTTAAAAAATACAACTCTAACCCACTCACTCATTCACAAATATTTGTGTCAGTGTTTAATAGCTAACATTATCGATGACCATCCCAAACACAAACTCAACGTCTGGTGTTATTTTTTTTATAGAAGTACAACATAGAGCATTTACCACTTTGGGGTTATTGTTCACTGCACCTAACATGTCAGCTTGCGAGCCTGTTTTTACAAATATTGGCAAATTGGTATTGGAACCTAATTATGTAATACCATTCCTTGACTTATTGACAGTCTGTATGGATGTCATTGTTTCCGATGACATTCTTCCTTTCTTTATTTCAAATGTCACACGTGTGTGTCGAGGATGCGCAGTGCACGACACAGTATTTCCAGTGATAACGAAGTCCCAAGTCCAACAAGGTTATATCAGGCCTTTTGAACGCTGTCCCTTGACTCGTTACCCAAACTCACTGCATCAGGTAGGTCTGACTTGTCTGTCACCAGGTATGTGTGAACCTCAGTACTACTGTGTACGAGTAACATCACAATGGTTCATCTTACCACACAGTCATCTCCAGACTGATTCTTATAAACTAATTAAATGTAACATTTTGGCTAACCAGATTAGTTCAAAGATCTACATTCACTATTTCCTCCATTCGACCACTTGACTTCAATACTGAGACCGATCCCGAGGTATGTGTATGTATATATCACTTGTGTCTGTTACAGTTATTACTGACATGATTCCTGACAAATGCTTCAGTAAACAGTATGAGAAAATAGGGTCTGATAAATTAGTCCGAAATTAACGCCTCCTACTTTCGATATGCTAATGAGTGGGAGTCGCCACAAAACTTGGTCATGTGATCGATACACTGTACACACATCATGTCAGCCAGAGGGTGGCCGTCATTCACTATCTGCTCACCGACACGCTACCGATCCCGGTACTTGGTGTCGCTATAACATATGCATTGTATAACAAACGCGAACTGTCATGCCATCGATGTTTTGTTTTTTTGTATGGCGTGTGAAGGATAATACGAACAAACAAACACGCAAAATTACTGGGTAAGCCTCATGTGTTCAAAACTTGTTTTATGAATTTTCCCTTCTTCGAATATCCAAATGATGAAATACTAAGGGGACATTTTTTATATATAAAAAGCGAAATATGTTCAGTCAGCCAACGTGTGACTTGCCTAAGAATGTCAGCTCGGATTGTTGATAAAAACTGCGATGTTTTTTTATATATATAAAACGGGGTATTCGTTCACTTTTTTCAATATCATTATGATTCCAGTCGAGCGAATGTTTTGAGCACAACAAAGCTCTTTTGATTGTTTCTTATTTATGAACGGAACAGTAGATAGATACCACAACTACAGTCGGCCCTAGTGTCACTGTCACGTGTTTAAGGTATTAAGCTGAGATTGGGGGTAAGAAGTGCATTATTCAACAGGCTGGTTTGTATTTTGTAGGTAAGATGGCGACCTCCAAGAAGTTAACAGAAGACTTCCTGACATGCACGATATGTACAGAGGTGTTTGACAAGCCCTGTACACTTGTATGTAATCACACCTTCTGTCGGAAATGTGTGGTAAGCTACACCAAAACCAGACCAGAAGCCATCAGTGCCAAGTCTCTCCTGTGTCCATTCTGCAGCAAGATGACGAAAGTGTCTGCCCCTGAGAGACCAGTGGAGGAGTGGGCGGATGACGTCAAGCCTATCTTTGTCATCCAGGGACTCTTGGATTCATTTGGCCCCGAATCTAAAGGTGAGCGTGCATGGTTTGTAAATTTACGAATAAACGTGTTGTTTCTAAGCTGGTGGATTTGAGCAGATATTTTGCATTGTTTCTGGGGATACCAATAATTCAGAACTTGTCAAACTCTTTCTAAGATTTTTTGTTTGTCTTTGGCTGTTGATAATTTTGTATTTGCTCAATATCTTCTCCATTTTGATACTTTGATTCAAAATAGGCAGGTATCGTCGACCCATGAACAATGTTTTTTTCATAATTCCGTATGTATGAATGCGCGCCAGACTGTAACGAAAATTCTATTTAGAAATGAAACCCAGAGACAAGAGAGTTGTGGAACCGAAGCAAGTGGGAAAAAACAGGCGAGCGAGCCTGCACGTTTGCTGTTATTATTCCGTCTCGGCCTTCGGTCTCAAAGACTTGTTTGGACAATAAATATGCAGGAATTTCGTTATTGTCCTGTGCATAACGATACACGTAATTCCCTCGACTGTAATATTTGGATATTTGGATTCCCCAACATTCCGTATTAAGTAGTGCGCCTCGGGGGAGGGGGGCGTGGATTAATTTTAACATTCATTGGGAAATGAATGCTATAACAAGTAGAGAGAGAGAGAGAGATGAGCTGTATTATTTACTAAGCCTGTTTCACGAATGTGATTTTCAAGAGAACAGTTATACCGTTACGCTGTTTTGACGTCACAGTGCAGCTCTGACGTTCATACAGTTTGGCTCTCACTCTATGAAGGTTCATACTCCAGTGAACTCACACAAAGTGAAAGTCAATTCTTATAATTTCTTTATATCACTATTTGTACCGCAAAGGACACAGACTTTGATCTATACACAATTATATTTAGTACATGTTACTTTATGTTTACACTGACAGCCATACAACAACCAGCTGTATCGGGAGTTGCTAATGAACCCATGGCAGTTACATGTTTTAGTCATCATTGATCAATTGGCCGATCATTGAAAGTTGATTAAAGATGTGTCAAATACACTCTAAGGTAAAGTCATAGATTACTGTAGACAGTCACTGCCAGCCTCGATACGGATCGAGTTGATACAAGATCTACCATAGTTTGGATGTGCATTTCTTCGTTTGTTCACTTGGATGGGCCGTAGAGAGGAATGTGGAAGTAGTCCGTCAAGCGCACGTCTCGTGAAAAACGTATGAACGTCAAATTGTGTCGTTTATACACTTATGAACGTCAATTTCGCGGTCAGGTGACCGACCTCTCGTCCAGTTGGAAAGCCGTATATCGTGTAAAGATCAAATTATAAAATGATCATAGTATGACGTCATAGTGCAATCTAACTTTGTGACGTCACAAAAAGACAGGCGTACGACACATACAGAAATAAGTATTATAGTTGCAGTAAAATGTACAATAATTGTAATATAATTTATAATACAATAAATTGCTTATAAATACTTTCAAACCAAAATTAAATGGCCTGATTGTATATGAAATAATTCAGTTATTTCAGGCCATTTAATTTTGGTTTAAAGGTATTTATAAAGTAATTTTCTTTTATCTTTCTCAGTGCATCATTTTCACATTTGTATCACAAACTTTGGTGTTTTATTCCCGACACATTGATAAATGTGTTGACTGAGTGGGATGTAAAAGTTTCGTGATTTAGCCTTGTTTATTGCGTCTTCTACTTTTTTTCTAGGGTAGTTTCTTTTTAATAGTGACTCCCTCAGTTCATGGAATGTATATTGTGCACGATCTGAATTAGATACTATCGCGCATATTCTACGTGCTAATGAGTAAGGGACACTGTTTTAAGCATGACTGTCTTCATTCCGATTCAAAAGAACAAAACAATCATCTAAAAATATTTTCCATTTATCTAAAAAATCCCTGTCCAAATTCAATGCCGATTTTTTCATCAATTTTTTAGTACAGTTTTTCCTCCAAATAACCAAATACAAGAGTTGCATAGGTAGGGGACATTTAAATCCCCATTGCTGTGCCACTAACTTGCTTGTAATGAGAACCATCAAAATTAAAAGTTTTATCATATGTATTTATCTAGTATTCAATAGCTTCTATGCCGAGATCATGGGGAATGTTTGAATATCAATTAACTTCATCAAAACCGACTAACTTTGGACCATTTTCGACTGAGGGTGGAAGTTGGTTCAGAAAATCAGTGGAATATTTTATGTTGCTCTTGACATGTTTAGTTATTGGTTTTAGCACTTTATCCATAAGGTCATTGATTCTGTGTGTGGGAATCATTTACGGGGGGTATTTTGACATAAGCAGAATTCCATGTTTGACATTTTTCTTGGAGCTCTTATAAACTTTAGGGAGGCCATAAAATTACTTTCTTTCGATTCAAAACTAAATAAATAATCCATTTCGTTTTTAGTCAGGCATCTTTGAAAATATCTAATGGGAGTTCTTGGTTATAATTACTGTCTTTAATTATCATAGCACTCCCATATCAGCTTCTTTAATAACAATTGAATCGTTGTTTGATAATTTGTTTAGAACCGCTCATTCATTTTTTGTAATGTTTGATTTACCTTTTTGAGGATTTACAGTATTAACATTGTCTAATACTTTGTTACCACCAGGTTTTAGAGTCAAGGTGTTTTTGTTTCTAACTAATGAAGTATCTTTGTTATGATTTCGCTGCAATGAAATTGCGTCACAATACTTTGCAGACCATTCTGATATCATTGGTCACGATCGAATGACATCACTAATGGCTCTGCTACTGAAGCTGTTAGTGCTTTCTAAGACACTGCTTATTACTGTCTACAAATTGAAAAGGTTGGAAGAATGATGTTGGATGATAATAAAATCTAACCCTCTTGTCTTTTGATATCAAATATCTCAACACAAGTTAATAAAAGTGGAAAATCTCCTCAATAAGCCCCAGAGCCTTTCCACTTTGATCAACTTGTGTGTGTATATATATATATATATATATATATACATAGCGAGCTAGCGAGAGAGAAGAGAGATATATACTGGTATGAATAAATCACTATTTCAGATACGACCTACTGCAGTTATTGCAAGGAGGAAGGGGAGACAACTCCAGCTACATCTTGGTGTCCTGTCTGCGACGACGCACTCTGTGAACCATGTATGCGGGTGCACAAACGAATCCCACTTTTCCGTCACCATGACGTAGTTGACCTGTTTCGAGATACAAAGGTCAAAATTAAGAGAAAGGTCATGTGTAAAGTTCACAAGGATGAAAATGTCAAATATATTTGCAAAGATTGTAAAACAGCTGTTTGTCAAAAATGCTGCACAATCCATCACAGGAAATGTGACTTGGTTGTAGAAATTGAGTCAGAGATTCCTGCAATGAAAGCCGAGTTAAAAAGGAATAAAGAGGATTTGTTGAAGAAACACGACAAGATAAAAACACATATTGATAAACAAAACGTCAAAGTCAATGAAGCATTAACGCTGTACTTACAAAAAGGATCGAATATCAAGTGTGCAAGTCTCAAAGCAATGGAGGCTATCAAAGTCAAGGAACAGAAACTTTTGGCTGAACTGAAAGAAATCTCTGACAGACACATTGGAGAACTGAAGGCAGACATAAAGTCAGGTGAGTTCTTAGTACAGATGTACCAACAACAGGCTGAGCTGATAGACCAGACTCTACAATCTGAGTGTGACATGGGTGTGTATGAGATGTATCAGGGATGGGAGGCTGGTGATGTGGAGGCTGTCGGAGTCACAGACGTGAAGGAGAAGAAAAGAATAGCCAGGATCATGTTCAGACAGGACACGGACAAGCTGAGTAGAACACTGGACGATCTACAGCTGGGTGAGATAGACGTCCTGTATGAGGGTGTGCTGGACCTGAAGGCGACTCCTGTGTTACAGGACACCATTGATGTGCTTGACCTGAAGGTTACTCCTGTGTTACAGGACACCATTAACGTGCTGGACCTGAAGGCTACTCCTGTGTTACAGGGCACCATTAACGTGCTGGACCTGAATGCTACTCCTGTGTTACAGGACACCATTAACGTCAGAGTAGCAGGAAATGCAGAAATATCGAATCCCAGTGATATGACGGTGTTAGAGGTTAATGGTACAGACACAGTGATAGTTGTAGACAAGAGGAATAACAGTCTGAAGTCCTTCTACACCAGGAACAAGAAGCAAGGTCACAGCAGGCTCAGCCTCGGTGGTGGTCCGTGGGGTATAACAACGTTGAAGGACAACCAGGTGGCTGTCACTGTGCAAGGTACCAGACAGATTGTAACAGTACAAGTCAACCCTGACCTAGTGCTGCTGTCAACCATCACAACAAGCAAACAGTACATGGGTATAACGTCTCTGACACCATCGACTCTAGCAGCAAGTTCCGTCCTCACTCCCTGTGTTGATATTCTGGATATGGCGGGACACGTGCTGAGGTCAATTTGTCCAGGCCACCCTAGTAGATCCATCTTGAAGTATCCCCTCTACCTCTGTACCTCGAGGACAGGAAACATCCTGGTGTCTGACACAGGATCCATGTGTGTCGTGTGTCTGACTCCCGAGGGAGATGTTGTGTTCACCTACAGCCCTACAGGAGACACAGCACTGAAGAGACCATATGGTATCACAACTACCAGCACAGGCGACATCCTGGTGACAGACAACGATCTACACAGAGTCCTCCATCTGACTGAGTCAGGACAGTTTGTAAGAGACATCCTGACAGGTGTCAAGTATCCACGTAGAGTGTCTGTTGGTGGGCGTGGGCGTATGTACGTGTGTTCATGGGATGTAGTGAAGGTATTTACATTGAAGTGAATGAACATGTCGCAATCCTTCTTTCAATCAACTGTAGTCACGTGTGTGTTGAAGATTTATGTTTTGATATGTGTCATTGTGTATTTACCTTTAAGCACATGTCACTATGTTTTGCCAGATCACATTATATATTAGTGTTGAATCACTCATCTGAGCTTTGCTATTTGAATGTGATGAATGAAGATTTAATCGGACATGGTCTGTAAGTGTACACATTTTATATGTAATCTAAATAGCAAGACACGGCTGTTCACGTACTGCTTTAATTGTTCAGATCTCATCTGAACATGTTTCCTATTTCCTATATTACCAACTTCGAATGTATGTAGCTTTGATAAAACATCCTTACATCGAATACCAGATCCTCCGCATGATGTGTTTTTCATTTGTGCAACCACTATGACAGTGTAATGGAGCTATTCCTTCTGTGTTATAACTAGCAGTGTTGTGAGCTATGGTGGTGTGGGATGGATATTTACATGACAGTAATCCTTGCAATAAGCAGCAATGTTATGTTACAGATTCATATATGAGGTGCCGTTTTACTATTTATTCCTGATTCATATCAACAATTCATTTAATGATACTCCAAGATGAATTACTGTAATCATAATGCTAGTGTATTATGGATCTTTTCGTGATATTTGATGTATCTGTGGAATATTTACGTGACAGTAATTCTTGCTTGCTATGCTGAGGATACTAAGCAGCACTGTTTTGTTACAGCTTTATTCATAAGGCGCCGTTTTGTTATATATTCCTGATTTTATATCAATAATCCATTTAATGATATCCCAAGATGAATTACTGTAATCATTATGTCAGTGTATGGATCTATTCGTGATATTTGATATATCTGTGGAATATCCGCCAGACTTCCTTGATATGCGGAAAAAAGACAAAAAACAACAACACTGTCTTGTTACAGACTTACAGACATTCTTCAGACCACATTGATCCTGGCGACAGTTGTGTCACTGTGACCTGCAAAGGAGGCCCGCGAGAGTCTGAATTCTGAATTCTAAGTTCGACAGGCTGATCATGTGACATGCGGTACGAAAACCGCCAAACCAGTCACAGCCCGTATTAAGCAGCCGTTGTGACCAACCGATCGCCAAGTTTAATCACCTTGTATAACCTGTGTTGAAATCAAGGTACGAATTTAAGTACAGTGTCAGCCTCGGTGTTCAACAGAATCACCTGAAACTATCATTGTACATATTAAATGTACTAATTGTTCTGGTAACTTTACTGAACTGTTTCGCGTTATGAAACACAGGACCGCTTGGGAACCCACACTAATGCATTGACAAAACTACTAATGCTTTAACAACCCACACTGATGCATAAGCAACCCAGACTTAAGCATTAGCAACCCCGATATACATCAACAACCACACTAATGCATAAACAAAAAACAACTAATGCATTAGCAACCCACATTAATACAACAGCAACCCATATTGATGCATTAGCAGCCTGACCTGACATGACGGGGAATCCCCTTGTAGTGACGTCACATTCAAGAAGAACACGTGTTTTCGTGACATCACTGATTTTCAGTGGTCCATTCAAATGTAAATTCTTTGCTATTTTGCCCTCTTAGCTCAACGGATTCTGATAATCTCTTCTCTTGACAATTTAAATATATTTAAACATCAATTGTTGCTTCAATAAGAAAAACCTATTGTTGTATGGCAGTGTAATTTATTGTTAAACAATGATTGTAACTGTATTACATTGTATCTGTCTGCTGAGGTTCAGAAGTTCATTGTTTGAAACAAAATGTCGTTTGCTCGATAAACGACTTTCACCTTTGGATGAGAGGTCGTTAACATGACGTTCATAACGACACAATTTGACGTTCATACGTTTTTAAGAGACCGTGTTCTTGAAATGATGTAAACACTTACGGACTACTAACACATTCCTGGGGGAACCCCTGAGAATTTCCTAACACGAATACATGAAAAAGCGTTGTTTCTGATCATTTAGACCCCTTAATCTTGAACTCAAAGATTTAGCGTACATTGAGAAACGTCAGAGTGCTTGACTGCATTATCGCTCACGAATGCCCTCGCTACGACCCATCCTACGGAACAAAAGGAAACAATGCACAAACTCCGTGTACATGACATTTGTATCCGGCTGATATTGTTGTGCTGTCTATCATGTAGCCAACGGTTCTCAGTGGTGCAACTGTATTGTATGTTGCATCAATTAAACATGCAATATAAAATAAATAACAAATAAAATAGTTTAAATGTAATTCGAATTTAATAATTAAAACATGATTGCTTCACCACATTCGTCACCACTCGCCCCTTTTCGTAAACTGCGAGAAGCTTGTCCCGGAATGACACGAGTTGGTCACGAATGAATCACTTCCTGATTCTCAATTTCCCTCAACACCAGGTAAGTGCGTGTTGTCACAAGGCCTGTGTCTACTTCAGTTAGAACGCTACACACCTGTCCTACTGTGTACTGGTAACACCACAAGGGTTCATCTAACTAAACAGTCATATCCAGGCAGATTCACATGACCGGGCACCTAATTAAATGTAACATGTAGGCTAACCAGAATATTTCAAAGATCCACTTTCACTATTTCCTCCGAACGGCCACTTGACTTTGATACTGAGACCGATCCCGAGGTAAGTGTATGTATATATCACGTGTGTCTGTTACAGTTACTACTGACATGATCCCCGACAAATGCTTCAGTAACCAATATGGGAAAATACTTCTACATAACCATATTATTTCATATCTCTTAGGGTGTGAACTTAATGTCTCCTACTTTTGATATGGTAATGAGTGGGTGTCACCCAATACCCATGTCACGTGATCGACACACTGCACACGGTTCACAAGTGTACACAGCCCATGTTAACAAGCACCATTCACAAGCTGTTCAATGACAGGCCACTGATCATTGGTATTCGATGTCACATGACATACATTGCATGACAAACGAGTACTGTTAAGGACATCAGCGAATGGGCGTGCGGATTAAAACCAACCAACAAAACAAACAAAACTGCTTAGGTAACACATCAGTAAACAATATGGGTGAAATACTTCTACATTACTCTCTACATCTCTTATAGTAGGGTGTGAACTTAATGTCTCCTACTTTCGATGTGGTAATGAGTGGGTGTCACCCAATACCCATGTCACGTGATCGACACACTGCACACGGTTCACAAGTGCACACACCCATGTTGC